TGCTGCTGCTGCTGCTGCTGCTGTTCAGCAGCGGGCGCCGCAGCTGCAGCAGCAGCAGCAGCTCCTCCCGCGACGCAACGCCGCCGTTGAACACAGCAGCAGGCAGCTGCTGCCCCGCGCTGCTGCACAGCTCCTGCTGCAGCAGCAGCTGCTGCCCACTGATAGCAGCATAGACACGAATGGCCAGCAGCACAGGGTCCAGGATAACCTGCTGCTGCTGCTGCTGTTTTGCGCTGCTGCTGTTGCGTCTGCGGCCTCCTGGCTTCCGCGAAGACGGTGGGGCCCCACAGGGGAAGTAGTGCACCGTCAGCAGGGGTGGCTGGAGGCAATCTGCTGCTGCTGCTGCTGCTGCTGCTGTTGCTGCCATTGTGTTGCTGCGCTTGCTGCGTCGCCGCGTGTCCTCAGGTGCGACCCGTGCTGCTGCTGCTGCTGCTGGAGCCTCTCAAGGTGCAGCTGTAGCAACTGCTGCGGCTGCTGCTGCCGCAGCAACTTTTGTTGCAGCAGCTGCTGCCGCTGCTGCTGCTGCTGTTCGTATCGCCGTTGCTGCTGCTGCACACCTCCCGATAAAGAATCAATTTTATTTTGAAAGAAGAGGCGCAGTCACAATTTGCTGCTGCTTCTTTCCCGCTGCCGTTATTGCCGCTGCTGCTGCTGCTGCTGCGCATGCAGCCCCGGCGGTCGCTGGCCTTCCCAAACACCTAAACCCTAAACCCTAAACCCTAAACGCTGAACCCTAAATCCTAAACCCTCGCCAGTCAAGCGCTAGCCTTGTTTCTGAGAAGTGCAGAGAGGCCAAGACACCAAGCAACCCCCAAACCCCCACGTCCAAACCCTAACTCCCAAACCCTAACCCTAAACCCTAAAAAAGCGTTAGGAACTGCTTCGCAGCGACTGCTGCACGCCATTCCGGCGTGCGCTGTGCTGCTAGGAATACTGCAGCAGCAGAAGCTGAGGGCTGCTGCTGCTGTTGCTGCATTCGCCAAACCAGTATCGCTGTGGCAGCAGCAGCAGCAGCTGCTGCTGCTGCTGCCGCCGCTGCCGAAGCCGTTGCTGCTGCAGGGCGCGCGCAGCATCGGAACAACTACTGCACCGCACTGGAGCAGCAGCAGCAGCCAACAACAGCAACAGCAAACTGCTAGAACAGCAGCAACAGCACACCTCAACAGCAGCAGCAGCAGCTGCTGCTGCTGCTGCAGCCATCAAAAGAGAGAGACAGCAGCTCTTGCTGCACTGAGCCACAGCAGCGCTTCTGCTTCTGCTGTGTCGTGGGCGCCGCACACAGTGCCGCAGTGCTGCTGCTGCTGCTGCGTCTCAATGCTGCTAGCTTCCCAGGCCCTCCTTACTGCTGCTGCTGACGCTGCTGCTGCTGCTGCTGCTGCTGCAGTGGCGGCGTCAGCAGCACCTTCTCCAGCTGCTGCTGCTGCTGCCTGAGGAGGGCCGTCTGCCGCAGCACTCGCAGCACTCTGACCCGCGCTCCCTCCCGCAGCAGGCACAGCAGCAGCAGCAGCAGCAGCAGCTGGCTGCTGCTGCAGCGCGGAGCCAAACAGCAACTCATCAGCAATGATCACAGAGCGCAGCTGCCCTGCAGCAGCCTGCAGCACCACCAGCTGCAGCGGCGTCAGTTGCTGCAGATACGCCCGCAAACGCTGCAGCAGCAGCAGCAGCAACAGCAGGAGCAGCAGCAACAGCAGATTTAAGACCGTGAAAAGCAACAAACGCAGCCGCTCCCTGCCTGCTGCTTTGATACTGAAGATCTATCGCTCGCGAGCGAGGGTTTAGGGTTTAGGGTTTCGGGTTTGCAAACCTCCCACAACAGAGGGTTCGGCGCGCCTGGCCAAACTTAAACCCTAAACCCTAAACCCTAAACCCTCACCGCCGCGAGCAAACCCTAGTCTGGAGGCCCTTAAATTGACACTGCTGCAGCCCTTTCCCCAGCACTTAGCTGCTAAACCCTCGGCCTTAAACCCTAAACCCTAAACCCTAAACCCTCACCTGCAAGGTTTCGGGGGTTTGCGTTGCTGCCTGTATGCCCTCGCTGCTCCGCAGCAGCACTTTGTGTCTGCTGCTGAAAGCAGCAACAATTGGCGGCAGCAGCAGCTGCTCCTGCAGCAGCACTGCAGCACGGAGTTCCCAGCTGCGGCACTGCTGCTGCAGCAAGGCCGAGGTGCTGCTGCTGCTGCCCTCTTCAGCAGCAGCAGCAGCTGCTGCTGCTGCTGTGTCCTGCTGCAGCAGGGACTCAGGCTGCGCAGAAGCCTCGCGGCAGAGCGCTGTGTCCGTTTCTATGAACGTAAGCAGTTCTTCTACGATTTGCTGCTGCAGCGTTTGCTGCTGCTGCCCTTGCTGCTGCTGCCCTTGCTGCTGCTGCTTCTGCTGCTGCTGCTGCTGAAAGGACACGTCCTGGGCGAAGGCGAGCAGACCTGTCAAAGGACGCCTCAGGAGGTACAGCGGCAGCTGCCGACCTTGTTGCTGCTGCTTCTGCTGCATCTGCTGCTGTTGCTGCTGCAGCAGCAGCTCCTGCTGCTGCTGCACGTACCGCTGCACCCGCAGCGCTTCTGTAGCAACAGCAACAGCAGCTGCACGGGAAGGCAGCAGCAGTTCAACCCCCTCCGATGTCTTTACGGGGGTGCCCCCAATAGACACGCTGAATACTCTGCTGCTGCTGCTGCTGCTACTGCTGCTGCTGCTGAGGAACGCAGCTTGCGCTGCTGCGGCAGCCTCAGCTTTGCTGCTGAGATCGGCCTCTGATAAGGCATTTATGCTGATGCGGCACTTCTTCGCAATTAGTGCTGCAGCAGCAGCAGGTGTGGCTGCTGCAGCACTTCCCGTTGCTGTACCAGCTACTGCCGGAGCTGCCACTGCAGCAGCAGCAGCAGCAGCGGAAAACCTTCTAATGCCGCAGCCTACACAGCTGTAGGCGCGCACAGCAAGAGCTCCTCCTGCTGCTGCGCCTGAGCGTGCAGCAGCAGCAGCAGCAGCACTAGTCGCAGCAGCAGCAGCACTAGTCGCAGCAGCAGCAGCAGCAGCTGCTGCTGCTGCAAAAAGGCTAGTCATCACGGCCAATTGGCGTGATAAATTGGAACACAGAGGCCTGCAAAGACACGGAAGTAATTATTTCAAGCCTTGTGGTCTTGGGTTTAGGGTTTAGGGTTTAGGGGTTAGGGTTGAGGGTTTAAGGATTGGGTCTCATGCATGCGCCAGGAATCAAAGCCCCACGGGCCCCGTTGTCTCCGTGAGGGTTTGTAACATGCGGATTTACAGTTATAAAGCAAAATAGGATTTGATGAGCAGCAATAGCATTGTTGCTGCTGCAGCAGAGGAAGGAGCTGCTGCAGTAGGACCTGCAGCAGCAGAGTCGACAGCAGCAGCAGTGACGAAACCGCACCTCCCACGGGAGCAGCAAGGCTGTAGCAGCAGCAGCTGCTGCTATAATAGCGGTCGAGGCGCCAACAACGGCAGCAACAGCTGCAGCAGAAGCAGCAGCGGTGGCAGCAGCAGCAGTATCCACACGCGCCGCAGCAGCTGCAGCAAGAGGTGTACCGTCAGCACGAGCAGCAGCAGCAGCGCGAGGGGGGAACAGCAGCAGCAGTGAGACAAGCGCTGCAGCAGCGTCTGCCGCAGCGGCAGCGGCTGCAGCAGCAGCGCCGACGCGGGTAGCAGCAACAGCAGCAGCAGCAGCAGCAGCAGCCCGATTCGAAGGCCTGCAGCAGCGTTGGCCGGCACATCCGTAACGCTCCGCAGCAGCAGCAGCACGTGAGGAGCAGCATCTGCATCTGGGGCATAGGCCGGAGCAGCAGGAGCGGCAGCGTCAGCAGCAGCAGCTGCTGTTGCTGCTGCTGCTGCTGCTGCAGTGTGCCGCAGCAATGCATGCAGGGTCCCTCCCGTCGCGGGAGGGGTTTCCGCACTCTTCGTTTTCGCTGCCTCCGAGCCCTGCAGCAGCAGCAGCAGCGGCGGTGCGCAGCAGCAGCAGCAGCAGCGGGAGCGCCTGGGCAGCCGCAGCAGCAGCAGCAGCAGCAGCGGCGCCGCGGTACCTGCGGACGCGGTTTTTTTTCGAGCCGCAGCTGCAGCAGCAGCAGGAGGAGCAGCAGCAGCTGCTGCTGCAGCAGGGCGTGCTCGGCTCCGACTCTGTTGCTGCTGCAGCAAGAGGCAGACACAGTGTTGTCTGCCGCCACTGGTGGCGAGGTGCATGCATGCGTGGGGCTGCATGCGATTTTCTGCACAGAGTCATTTATCTGCGCATGCCCAAGTGCAGGCTCGACGGCGCCTGCCTCGACGCAGCCAGGTGCTGCTGCTGCTGCTGCTGCTGCTGCTGCTGGTGCTGCTGGTGCTGCTGCTGGTGCTGGCGCTGGGTGGGGCGGGGCTGCGGTGCGGCGCAAGCTGCTGCTGCTGCTGCTGCGCGTGCTGCTGCTGCGCGTGCTGCTGCGGGCAGCCTGCTGGTTCACGTGCTGCTGCTGTGCTGCCGCTGCTGCTGCTGCTGCTGCTAAGGTTTGTGTAAGGTTTGTGTGCCTGCTGCTGCGGATGCAAGAAGCCTCCCTTGCTGCTGCTGCTGCTGCTGTTAGGGGCTGCTGCGTGTACCGGCACGAGCAGCAAAACGAGACGGTGGAGAGCCTGATAGGGTCGGACGCGTGTCGGCTGCTGTGCAGCAGCGGGAGCAGCAACTACACGCAGCAGCAGCAGCAGCAGCAGCAGCAAGAGTGTCTCCACTACTTCTTCGGCTACTGCAAACAGGGGCCCCGCTGCAGAAAGAGACACACGCAGCTAAACAGATCTTTGATGCCTGCGGTGGCTCCCAACTGGTTTCTCGAGGCTGTTGTCGCCAACTTCAAGGTAGGGTTTAGGGTTTAGGGTTTAGGGTTTAGGGTTTGGGGTTTAGGGTTTGGGGTTGGGGGGTGGGGGGCGGCCTTCGGCTCTGGGGGCAGCAGGATTTGGGTTCACGTGCTGGGCGCTGGCGGCTGGGCTCTTGAGGGTTTAGGGTTTAGGGTTTAGGGTTTAGGGTTTAGG